TGCAGGGGTGGATGTGTGGGAGGCTAGAAGTCTCTGTGTTTGAGTTGCTGTGCCTTTTGATCTGTCTACTTGCACTGAGGCCACACCCCCCGGGGTTAGCCCCATCCAAAACTTGGTAAAGTGCGGGCACCAGAACCCAGCTTGCCCAGTGCTGGAGTCTGCTACTAGGTAACCTCTGCTTACCAACATATTTTCTGCCTTTGATCTAATCAGAGGGGAAAAGGGATTTTTTTTTCCTTACAATTTTCACCTGACAATCTACTATCAGAAATAAAAACTAAGTCATTTTATATTTTAATACAAACTATCACTTAGATCAGGGAATGTTGAGTTCTTCTTTGTCTATCTTCATTTGTCTTTCTGTCTTTTTTTTTTTTCCTTTTTACTGTTTCACATAATCCGAGGCACAAGGTTATTTAGTAAAATAAATCAAGATAGTTAATTAACATGGTTAAATGACAATTGACACAGTGTGCTGTGAATATAATTGTAAAGAACTCTGAAGAAATATGCCAATTATGAAGATCACTGAAAGGTGACAGTTTAAAACTGTGTTTCTTTGGAATTATATATTTTTTCTTGCTTTTATTTATTTAACAATACCATATTTTAAATTAATGTATGTTTAGTTAGATATATAAGAGTTGGTATATTACTAGATAGTAACCTGTTCTTTAAGGATCTCTATCCTGTTCCATGAATTTACATGTAGTTATGAAGAAAACTTATTTTCTTAGGAAATATTTTTATAATCACTAACAATTGCATAGGATTGTGGGGACAATTATATTTTTTATAAAAACTGGATCATTATTATTATTCTATTCTGAACAGCTGTTGGACATTTGTCTTAAATGTACATGAAAGAAGATGTAATGAAAGGACATTATAAAGGATTATAATGAATAAATAACATCTGAATACTCATTTAATTCATGAACTTTAAAAATTTAGAAAGCTCTTATTTTATGTCCAAGAAATGTTTTTGTCACTTATGCAATTAAAATATCTGCTCCATATTTTTATTGGAAATTATTTAATGAAAGAAAAATTCTTTACAATTCTTAGAATTTTTCAAAGTATTCAGATGTAAAATTTTACTACTAAAGCAACTTACAATGTACATCACATACATTGCAGAAGTATCATGATGGATGTAGAGAAAAAACTGATGCTTACTTCTGAAGTCACTTTGTGCTCTTGGGGAATTTTGAGGAAAGACTCAAGTGCACCAAGAGAAATTACCTGGATAATCTTGCCTGTAGCAATCCCAAGGAAAATGCCAGCAATCTAGAGTCATCAGGTACTCCAAGATCTACAGATTCACAATAGGTGGCTGAATTGGTAATTTGTTTTATCTTAGTGGTTCATTTAATTATGCTCATTAAAGGTAGTAAAAGGCTGTTCTAAAAACTCAGCAATTAGTCCTGGGAAATTGCATAAACAAAAACTACTTATCCCACCATGAGATTTGATAAATACCACATTAAGGATAAGAGTTTTTCATGAAAAGGGCCATATGTCTACACCTGCAAGGAAAGGTGTGTGAGAACCCACCATGTCTACGTAACCTCGGCAACAAATGTATCTCAGCCATTGCTTTGTTTCCTTTCTCCTCTCTCTCAGTTTTTGGTGTTCAAGAGCAAAGATCACTGGCCAGTTTTTCTGCACCTTATTTTGCTTGTTGCTGACTGCCTTCTCTTTCTCACTCCATTTGACAACCTCTTGTACTGCTGATCAAAAGTTAAATTTTAGACATGTGGAAATAGAATATGAGAAATCTTCCTCTTCAGCTGCAATCTTCTCCCTTGTTAGTCTTACTCTAAACAAAATATCTGGATTGTGACACTAACTGTTAGGGAGATCTATTTTTAGCTTGGAGTATGCAGAGAAATGAACCAGTGCTCAGCCTGCTGTCTAGTCTTAGCTAACTTTCATAGTATTTCACAATATTTCATAGAAAATGCCTGAGAGTTACCTGTGTGGGTGGTGGCCATCTCTTTATTACAATGTCAATCAAGTTTTGTCTGTTCTTTTAAGATACTTCTTTTTTTTTTTAAGATTTATTTATTTATTTATACAAGAGCAGGTGTACAGGCCAGAGTGCAGGAGGGCAAGAGAATTCACCAGAGACAGAGCAGGGAGTAGAACAGACAGAATGACAGAAAACTGCTGAGTGGAGCAGTGGGCGAGACAAGAGAGGTCTGCCACGCCATGTGTGTCTCCCCCTGGCCCGCCTGGAATCGAACCCGTGCTGCAGAGGCTGCGACAGCTCCACAGTGCTGTGCTCAACCCACTGCACTACCAGGGAGGCCCAAAATCTTAATATACTTCTTGAAAGAATTTCTGGATCCCTGCTCTAAAGCCAGTCATGAAGATGCCACAGAGGTGAGGAAAAAAATAGTGGATCTAAGAAATTATTAGAAATCTTCACAAGTTCCCGGGGAGATACAACTTGCCAGGGCTCCAAGTTGCTAGGAAATGAAGGGGGTAGGAGTCACAGATGAAGATAGTGTGGGGGTAGGAGGAAAGCCCTGAATCATCTTGCTTTGCTGCCACAACTTGAGATAAAAGAGAAGTCCAGGTCAGTGCAAGTACCAAAGGACAACCGTTGAGCCTGGAGGAGATGGAGAGGAATAAAATTAGAGCAGATCACTGAGCAGGCTCCTGGTTCTCTTACCTCCTGTTCCTCTTCCCACCATACCCCCCCAAGACTAGTGGCTGCACCAGAGGGAAATGGTTCTCGGAAAGAAAGAGGGGTGGGGCACAATGTTGGTGGCAATGAGGGGCCTGGGTGCAGGATATTTTACTTCTGATTGTTATGTATTTCCTTTAAGACTGAGGATAACACTGGGCTTTCTCGATCCCTGATCCTATTCCACATAGTGGTGGAGTCAATGAAATAGGGCAATAAATAAGAGGTTAAAGTTTGGAAAGGAAGAAAGCAAACCATCATTATTTGAAAATAATAAGATCATCTCTATAAAATAAAAGAAGTGGATAGAACTAGTAAGGAAAGTGTATCAAGTTCTCTTAGCCCTTACTATACTCAAGCTACAACTGACTAGAAAGCGCAAAGAAACCAGGCGTCATCCACAAGAGAATTTAAAAACATATTAATTACGTATTTATACATAATAAACAATTTCATTTTTTTCCTTCTGCCAGTCCCTTTCCATTTTATAGTGGTCATAAAATGTGGTTTTAATGGTTAACATTAAAATGTAGTTCATAATTTCCTGGATACCAAAGCAGGATTGTTACTAGAGCAGAGGAGAAATTGACATCACCCAGAAATGGAAATACTCTAACAAAATTTATAAAACTTTTAGGGGGAAAATTTTTAAACCCTATTATAGGACATGAAAGAGTCCAAATAATTAGAGAACTATACTCTGTTCATCAGTGAGCAACAATATTATAATGATACCAATCCCAAAATTGTTCTATAAATTCGATATTTTTTAAAAAACCCGAAAATACTTTCAAGTCAGTGAATCTACTCCAAAATGTATGTGGAAAAATTAAAGTCCACAGATAAAATCTTGAAGGGACCTGTCTTATAATGTAAAGCAGATCCTCAGAGCTTTCAAACTTAACCTATCTGACTAGCCAATCCTAGATTCCTTGAGGGTTTACAACGACTTAAGGTACTAATTACTGAGTAGACCAGCCTTCTTAGTTGCCAATAACAGAATCCCCTCTAACTATTCTGAGCAGAAAGGGATTTATCATAGGGATTATAGAATCACAGAGAGGACTGACAAAATAGACTCTACACTAAGCACCCACAGCATCTGTCTTCAACACTCAGCTTGGCATCTATATACCCTTTCCCATTTCTTAAACTTGAAAGCAACAGAATGTAATTGCATTCACATAAACAAAATGTATTCAACCTCTTTCCAAAAGCATATATCAAAATTTCAACACTATTCAGACAAGAAGATACCTCTTTACACACATTAAATTATAAAAAGTTAGAGACATAGCAATTATTAATGAGATAGTGGGTACTGTACTGTTGTTAAAAGAGTAAACTAGCTATTCTGTCCTACAGAACAAGAGTCAAGACTGGAGAATTTAGTAAAATTAAGTCTGGATAAATGACCATGAAATCCTAGGCTGGATCCATACTCCCAGAGAAACTCTCTTATAGATCCATGGGAGACTATACAAGGATATTCATCACAATGTTGCTTGTGGTTGTGGAGTTGGAGACCAGCCACTTAACTGTCCATGCTGGAAACTAATAAAGACAAAGTGGCAAATACACACCATGGACTGCTATGCAAGAGGCAGAAATAATGCATTAGATGTATTTAGAGTAACAGGGGTAGATCTTAAAAAACTTAATATTCCCAAAATAAAATATCTGTACTACAATGCCATTGTGTAAGTTAACACACATAACTAGGTATCTATAAAAATATGTATAAATATATGTATTCTGAGCACACTGCAGAAGGTGACTCTGGTGTAGAGACTGGACATGCGAATAAGAAACCAGAGGGGAAAAGAGGTTTAAAATGATCTAGCTTGCACAGATGCATAATGATGTACCTGCATAGACAGAAGAAGTGAGGTCAATTCTGCACCTAATTTTTTTTTAATAGGATAGATGTCCTGTGATTATGGCACCCATTTCCCCCAGTTAATCATAATAATTAGAAATTCAAAAATTGCTTCAAAGGTGCAGACACATTGCACTTTGAAACACAGTGCTGACTCGTTTATGTCTCTAAGGAGGCTTTCTCCAAACACTTCAGTCTTATTCATCTCCAAGCTGCTTATTTTCTTGATTCCATCTAATTTTGCAAAGGAAGGCGGGGAAGGGGGGTTCGTTAGAACAATCTTTCAAAACTTGGAAAATGGTTTTGATTGCTCTACATTTAGGCAAAGTTACTGGTTGCTTAATAGCCATGTAGAGATCTTTTTTGGAAAGCAGACAGCCATTCCAGGCTATAAAGGTAGTTTCATGGAAATGTTCCTTTTGACAGAAGGAAGCCATTGGAGAATTCGTGTGCTATTTTAGCTGGCTCTGTGATTGCAATCACACAAATCACTACATTCCAGAGAGGTCCCATGAACAGAAGGTTTTTCCATTTCAGTCTTTTCAAGGTAAAACATTCTCTTTTCATTTTCTATAGACTCCAGAAACTAGAAATGATGAAATGTAAGCCATAATTATAATAGCACTTCTAAATCTTCCTTGACGGTCTGAGGGAAGAAAGGAAAGAGGGAGAGAATTCTTTTGTTCTCAGAAACATTAAAGTACTTATACAGATTAAAACAAATTACATCGGATTGCCTTCCCTTTGTTCAACTAGTCTAATCTCCTGCAATCTCACCTCCTATTTTACCCCAATATGAGTTAGTCTTGCAGTACGTGATAATGACTTCCATAGCCTGTGTAGTGCTATAGAACCAGAATGAAATTAGAAGGTGAATGGACTGTAGACTTGCCATGCATTTCCCCAGATGTTCCATCTGGCCTTTGATACTTTTATTTATGTACATGTACATCATGAGGAAGCAGATAGTATAAACACTGAATATCTCTTAGGCCGTTCAATTTTAGCTTTATATTTCCAAACTTGCTGATGATTGCTGCTCACATTTCCATTCCATTTGGGTGGTCTAATGGAAATGCAGAATGTCACAAAAGGGATGGCCAGAATGGATATCTCCAGTGAAAGCTTCTATATTCAGCAATGCAGATTTAATTGCTCAAGGAATTCTAGCCTGAGAAACTCAGTTTATCCGTATTTCCTGAGGACTAATCTTTGCTACCGCATTTGCTAAAGTCTAGTTATGCCTGGCCTCCTTTCACTGACAGAAGATTGTCTCTTAGAAGCAGAGCAATGTGTAGTAGTTCAAAATAAATTCTGTTCTTTTAGAAATAAGATGGCAAGATAGGAGTCCATTGGCTATTTAAAAATATCCCTCTATGTGATAAAAATATAATCCAAAATGACTTTTTTTCCAGAGCTGTTTCTCCAGGCGTGAATACTGTAAGAGATAAAAGAAAAAGTGCACTAAATTGAAATTCATAGCTGAAGCTGAACTCTAACCCCTGAGACCTTTCAGAACATTCCCTCATTGAAAGCCTCTTCGTTACTTTTCCTGCTTTGTATCTCTACATGGCCTTGAGAAACTGAAATCACTGGCAGATCTAGACAGTATTTGCTAAAAACATGTTGGTACCCAGGTTACTCTGTTGCTAACTAAACATGAAGCTAAAATTAAATAAGAGATGCCAGAGATTTCAGTAAGCCCACAGTCTTACAGTAAAAAGAGTCTTACAGCAACAGACTCTTTCAGCGATAGTCTGCTTGTTGCAGGAAGATAAAACCCAATATCAAAATTGTTTGGGTGATAATCTTCTGCTCTTTCTCTTCCAGACAGCAAATAACCTATACTCTTCAAATCCCTAAACATTTTTGAGTTCACATTTTCTAAATACTTAACGCTGCTATTCTGAGATAGTGGGAACCAGCCCACTGTCATCTTATCTCTCTTAAATAATGAAACCCAGATTGCCACAGTCAGCTAAAATCAGGATTCAGAGGTTGCCATTCCAGAATGTGGGATGTTGCTAATGGGAGAAGTACATTTTCCAAAGCCAAGACTTTAGTCACAGACAATGTGTTAATGACTCTGGATATCTGAGATAATTATAAATATATAGGAACACAGATGTGCCAAAAGGTTGAGGAGTCCTAAAACATTAAAGACATTCTACATTTAGTTGAATTATCTTACTTTCCTTAAGGGCAAGAATATAAAAATAATATTTGAAGGGAATCCTTTCCAGACTCATAATACCTTCCAAGCCAAGCTGATGTTACTGCATTGATTTTATGTACCCATCATTGCACTTCTAGCATCAATATGCATGAGATTGAAATAAAAAAAAGATAATAGTTTAGTCTAACATGCCCCTGGTGATACTCTGCTATTTGACTAATGTGTTTTGTTTTACTTTGCCCTATTGCTTACCTGAAATTTGGCTGAGTGAATTTGATGCTTGGATTACCCCCCGCAGAGCTGGGATGTGTTAGGTAGATGTACTTCTAGTGGAACAGGTCTCCAGATCAGTTCAGGCTGGTATGGTTATTAGCCAAATTTGTTTTCTATGCAGTGCATGACTGAAGCAGTAGTTAGGAGCCAAGGCCATAGCTAGAAATTTGAAGGATACACATTAAGCCTGAGAGGTGAGATGGAGAAGTTAACAGCATGATTATCCAGATAATACCCATCCCAGAAAAACAGAAGAGGATGTAGGATATCAGTCGAGTTGACTGCTGTAAGAGCTAGTGTGTTAAGCAAATGTACATCAGGGCTTGCTATGAGGTGCAACATGGAGCACTTTGCTTGTGCCTGCTTAATGGATGTGATATATCGAAGCAAATTTTGGGAGTGGGATGAAATAGTAGGAAAAATTGTTGATAGGTTTGTGCAGCAGTTTCTAGGGGTCACTTAGAGGACTAAGTTTGTTTCTTTGACTCTCATTGTATCATATCCTGAAACATCTCACAAGTCCCTGGCTCCTGTCCCCAGAGCAAGCACTAACTCAGAAGACATTGCAGGTTGAGCCTGAGGTAATTTGATACTGAAATAAAGAATAGGGCCTGGTATATTTTTCTGGCTGAGTTTCTAAGAGGTTTACACATGCAGTTGGCTGTAGTACCAGTTCAAACACTCAAAGGGATTGAAGTCTAGTTTTGCTGTAAAAGTAGTTTTCCCCCAGACAGGGTCACTAGCTTCATTTGGGGTCAGTTCTTCTGATCACTACACATAGGGTAAGGAAATCATTGGATTAGTGAGACAAAGGAGAAAGATGTTCTTATTTCCCAGGATGGGATAGATTAAGGAGCTCACAAGGAATGATTGTATTAGTGAACTGACAGGAAGACTAAGATCCAAATTTCAGATCATTATGAGGTCATGAAAATCAAGCCCAGGGAAAGGAAATAATGAGGTCATCAGTAAAGTGTGGCTTATTACCTGGGCCTCCTGTTCTATGAACAATAGGTGGCAATCTGGGAGTAACAAATGTTTTTACTTATTTCTGCCTGGTACAGGATAGTGTAAGGTGTTGATTAAGGTCTTTTTCTGCTCCTGGAAATCACTGAAGAGTATTGGCATTTCATTCAAGAAAAAATCTACTAAATTTTCTTTTTTTAAGATATATTTATTCATTTACACAAGCACTGGGTACAGTCAGAAGCACAGGAGATTGAGAGAATTCACCAGAGCCAGAGTGGGGAGCATAACAGGCAAACTGATGAAGTACACTGCTGAGGGGAACAGCAGGAGAGGCCTGCGCGCCATGTGGGACCCTCGCCAGTGGCCAGCTATCGTACCGGTGCTGCGGAGGCTGTGGGCAGCTTTGCATTCCAGTGTTCAACCACTGCGCCACCAGGGGAGACCCAAAATCTACTAAATTTTCTAAGCCCAAGTTTAAACAAGACCTTGTACTTGACATGAGACTCTGTTCTACCTCCAAGTAAATTATTGAAATGTAGGAGGGGAATGCTTAACTGATTCCTCATACTGAAAAGACGTAAAAAGAGCACTCAAATTTTGTGTGTGTCTTCAGGAAGTAGGAAACATCTTTTTTCTTGCCGGATGCCTACTGAGTCAACTACCAGAACAGGGGAAAGAGAAACGGAGCTTCAAGTTTTAGGTATTAGCTTGCCTGTGATATCTTCAAAATAAGTTGTCATATTACAACAGTAGAAAGATATTTGATGGCATTAGCTGTAGGGCAGCTTAAACACGCAGTGGAATCATGAAAAAAACTGTCAATGCCTGGGGAAACTACTTAGGATTGATTTCTATACCAATAGGACCTTCAGAAACCTTCACTCTACTTGTACTGTGTCCTCACTGACACTGGTTTTGATCAGCAGTAAAGACCCATGGCTCAGGTCTGTTCAATGGGCCTAATCACTTTCCATCTTGCAAAATTTCATGTGCATCTTTCACTGGCTATCACTTTCCTTTGTTTGTTTTTGTGGATTTAGGTTAAGTTTTATTGCCTCGTTGTCAATATATTAGAGTTTTAGAAGGATCAGAGATAAATGTTTAACTGGAAATCAAGTAATGAAAAAAATCAGCTGATTGATTTGGTACAGTTACTGTTCCACCCTCAAGATCTTGAAGCAGACATCAGCAGAATGCCTTGGCACTAATGTTTCCTCCTGGAGCTCAGGCTATCGTGGTTTCTTCGAAAGGGAAAAACATTGCCCCGCCAGGTGAGTATCTTTTACTTAAGCTTCATACTGACTTACAGTCATTGTCCTGCAAGCTTGTGGCTAGAGTTTGTGTAGGGGTGGTGATTCTGAATTTCACACAATGTCCATGCTTCCCAAGTGAGTAGTGAAAAGAACTAATCCCTTTCAACTTAACTTTTGTTAACTTTTGTTTTGCTGAAACAAAAGGTTATACTATCTTAATTTAAATAGTCAACCTCATTTTAATCATCCTTGAAAAGTTCCAACAGTCTACATTGTTCTAAAAGTTTTTATAGAAAAAATTGAATCAATACAGAATAGTATGTTTATACAGTGCAAAGCCATTTTTTTTCCTTAAAAGAAGATATACATACATAAGAATATATAAGAATAGCAAATTCCTGGAAGGCATTTATTAAAATGTTTTATAGATAGTATATGTTTATATTGGATTTGTAGATAATTTTAGTTTTGATTATGTTTTCTAACTTCCCTTCAATAAACTTGTATTACTTGAGTAATAACAAAATTTAGAAAAAATATTTAAAAGGATCAAATGAAAAAGATAAAATCAACTAGGAGAGTTAAGACTCATCTGTACAATTCTAATACAAGAACATGACCAGTTCTCTCTCTGTCCTCTCTTTCTCTCTCATACACACACACACACACACGCACGCACGCACGCACACACACACCAGATCCGGGACTCACCTGGGGTCTCAGTCACTCATTGATTGGGTGGTGATACCGCTACTGGTTGTGATATTAGCTGGAGTATTTAGCCAGAGCACCTACATGGTCTCTCCATGTGACCTGAGTTCCTCACAATATAGTCGTTGGGTTCCAAGAATGAGGATCCTAAAAGAGAGGCAGATGGAACTCTTAGGAGCTTGCCTTGGAAGTAAGTGGTGTTGCTTTTAGCACATACTATTCATTTAGGCAGACAGTCACCACAGTCAACTGAATTTCGAGCAGAGGGAAAGCTGTCTCTCCTGGTTGAGGAGGAGAGCCACGTGGAGCCAGGAGCACACGCTGTAGCATTTTTGAAAATGCAGCCTGCCATATTGGTACATAGTGGGATGCTGACAATGTGACATAGTTTTTATTTTAAGATGTTATGTTGGCTAGATGTTATTAATCATTCTATTTGCAGTTAGGCAACCTCTCTTCAAATATGTTATTGTTTAATAAAGGTGTGGCCTTTTATAGCAAAAAATAAATTCTTCCTGGCATGAGAAGGTCCTGGATATCTGGAGTGTGATATTTCTAGTTGAAATCTGAGAGGTAGATCATAATCCCAGTTTTTCATTGTAGAAAATATATCTCAAATAAAGACTAAATGAACAATATTATTAATACATTTTTAACAAGATAAAGGTAATGTTACTTGAATAGATGGATACATTTTGCTCAAGTGTAACCCAAGGGTCCTTCCATTGAAACAGAAAATGAAAGCAAGCAGTATGGTTACTAAACCACAAAAGTTTCCCTGGAAATGGATTTTTAAATCCTATTTTGTGTTCATATTGGACTTCTGAGAAGAATAAAGAAAAATTCCCTAGCGTTCTTAAGTTAAAAGAGAGGTCTTGCCTCTACTGTTTGGACAGCTGGAACACTCTTTCCTTAACCTCCTGGAAGAGAAGCAGTACTGACTTCTAGTCTCTGGGAATATCATGTTTCCTCCTGCTCCATGATGGAGAAAGGTGTGAGGAGAGCCTTAAGAGTCCTTTAAAAGATAGAATGACCTCAAGGAATGAAGTACTGAGTTTGGAGACAACACAAATGAAATAACCTAGGATGAAAAAAAAAATCATTTGCATTTCTGAGGCCAGTGAAAATATGACGATTTTTGTTTAATTGGTAGGTTAGGATGTGTTTCAAGGTTTGCATTCATTTACTAAGTACTTACTGAAAGTCAATTATATGCTGGGTACTTCCAGATGCTCAAAACAGGAAGAGGAGCAAAAGAAACAAAGAGCTAACATTGTATGAAATCCTGTTAGTTCTAAGGATCTGAGTAGTCACACAGTGGCACAGGCTGGAACTGTAGCTGAGCAGAATCAGGGACAGTGAGTCATGTAGACTACATAGACATGGATAACTACTTGTAGCCTCAAAGGAGACAAGAAAACAAATGTAGGATTTCCAGTCCATGTATTCCGTGTCCAGAGACTGAGAGGATGGAATCAGAACCTGTAAGAGGAGCCCTATCTTAGTACCCAGAATGGGTAGTGTCATCACTTTCCAGAACAAAGCAAGATATCAGTCACTTGCAATTGGTAGTTGAGATACAGGCAGATCTTGGGCAACAGCACAGGCAACATCTTTCCTTCTACCAACAGAGAAGGAGAATGAGAGGTAGAGATTGCTCCCCAGTGTTGGGATCTTCCGTATTTTAGTGTCCTTTCTTGTCCCAAGTGTAGTGAAAAATGCAATTCCAAGCCTTGCCCTGTAACACCAAAATTACTTAAATCTCATACTGATTTCTATCTTCTCTACAGAAGAAAGGCTTCAGAGTGGATCACCTGGAACAAATATGGCTTTCACTGAGTCTCCAGATAGATAAAGTGAGTTGCAAAATCTTTTTACTTTTTTATTATATCATTAAATAGATAGACCATGGGAATGAAAAAAAAAAAAAAAGTACCAAAATGCCAGCAGGGCACCCAGAATATAATGATTTCCCCAAAGTACTTGTCCAACTTCTTTATAGTATATTTGTATGTAAACTTGAGAAATTGGATAATTAAGTGTCTGAAGAATACCAATCTATGTGAGTCGATGCTAATCTGTGCTGGTGTGTCTTATGCTTGAGTAACATGTAGCTCCCATTTAAAGGAAACTATACTCTAAGATTTCCCTAGTCTAATTTTTTATTATTACTTTTTATTATAATTTTTATTATATAATTTTATTATATAATTTTTATTATAATATTATTCAAACATATGGACCTAAAACTAGAAGTTCTTTATATTTGAATACTTTATTCAACAAGAAATATTTTAAAATCACAACAAACACATGAATCAAAAATTTTAAAATAATAGTGTTTAACATGAGATAGTGTTGTCTTATGACACTAAAGCAGTGTTGATTTAATATTAAAATGGTAAGTCTTTATGTCAGTTTCTGTAACTCTGCATTTTGACTTCACTGTTTCTAATACAGAAAAGACTCAAAGATGCTGTACAAAATGAAAATTAAAACTCCAAGGATTTGTGTAGTAGTTCTGGTTAATTAGGCCTAGTACATTGTTAAAATTCTTCTGGCAAGAAATTCATGCATGCCGATTTTAATTAATTACTAAAGATTAGCATTAAGGTCAATATTTTTAAATAAAATGAAATCTGCATTCCATTGGAATTTAATGCATTTATTTGAGGGAGCTTTCTTTCTTTTTTTTTTTTTTTATAATAAATTTTATTTTTATATTACCCCATACAATTGCAAGCACCCCATTCTGACCCCAATCCTTCCCCTCCCGCCCCCCACCCCCAAAAAGTGTCTCTGGTTCATAGTTTTTTGTTGATTTTGATTTTCACTTTCTTATATTCATTTTCCTGGTCCCTTATTTAAGTTTTCTAGATTCCTGCTATGAGTGAGACCATCCGGTATTTTTCTTTTTCTTTTTGGCTTATTTCGCTGAGCATGATCCCTTCCAGTGCCATCCATGTTGCTGCAAATTGCAAGTGTTTATCTTTTTTGAATGCTGAGTAATATTCCATGGTGTATATGTACCACATCTTCTTGATCCAGTCATCTATTTTTGGGCATTTGGGTTGTTTCCAAAGCTTAGCTATTGTAAACAGTGCTGCTATAAACATAGGAGTGCAGGTGCTCTTTGGAATTGATGTTTCTGTGTCCTTTGGGTAAATACCTAGGAGTGGAATTGCTGGATCATATGGAAGCTCTATGTTTAGTAGGTCCAGAAATCTCCACACAGCTCTCCATAGTGGTTGGACCAGTTTGCACTCCCACCAACAGTGCACAAGAGTTCCTTTTTCTCCACATCCTCGCCAACATTTGTTGTTGCTAGTTTTTTTAATATGTGCCATTCTCACTGGTGTGAGATGGTATCTCATGGTAGTTTTGATTTGCATTTCCCTGATTACAAGTGATGTTGAACATTTTTTCATATGTCTGTTGGCCATTTGCATTTCCTCTTCAGAGAAGTTTCTTTTTAGCTCTTCTGCCCATTTTTTGACTGGATTATTTTCTTTGTTGTTGCTGAGTCTCATCAGCTCTTTGCAGATTTTTGTGATCAGTCCTTTATCATTAGTGTTGGGTGCAAAAATGTTCTCCCAGTTGGTGGGGTTTCTCTTTGTTTTTGTTATTGTCTCTTTTGCTGTGCAGAAGCTCTTTAATTTGATGTAGTCCCAGCTGTTTATCTTTCTCTTCACTATCACTGCTTTGGGTGATGTGTCTGTAAAGATGTCTTTGATGTGCAAATCCCGTAGTGTTTCGCCTATATTTCCTTCTATGTATTTTATGGTTTCAGGTCTTATGTCTAGTTCTTTAATCCATTTTGAGTTGATTTTTGTGTATGGTGTGAGGTAGTGGTCAAGCTTCATTCTTTTGCATGTAGCGACCCAGTTTTCCCAGCACCACTTATTGAACAAACTTTCTTTGCTCCAATGCATAGTCTTCGCTCCTTTGTCAAAGATTAGTTGACCATAAATCTGTGGGTTTATTTCTGGATTTTCTATTCGATTCCATTGGTCTGTATGTCTGTTCTTGTTCCAATACCATGCAGTTTTGATGATTATGGCTTTGTAGTATAGTTTGAAGTCTGGGAGTGTGATGCCTCCATTTCCTTCTTTTTTTTTCAGTAGAGCTTTGGCTATTCGGGGTTTTTGGTGATTCCATATGAATTTCATCAATAATTGTTCTATTTCTTTGAAGAATGCCATTGAGATTTTGATTGGAATAGCATTGAATCTGTATATTGCTTTTGGTAGGATGGCCATTTTAATAATGTTTATTCTTCCAATCCATGAGCAGGGGATGTCTTTCCATTTCTTTGTGTCTTCTTCTATTTCTTTTAACAGTGTTTTATTGTTTTCTTTGTATAGGTCCTTTACCTCTTTTGTTAGATTTATTCCCAAATATTTGATTTTTTTTGTTTCGATAATAAAAGGGGTGGTTTTTTTGATTTCTTCTTCTTCAGATTTATTGTTTGTGTATAGGAAGGCTACTGACTTTTGCGTGTTGATTTTGTATCCTGCCACTTTACTGAATTGATTGATGAGTTGAATTAGTTTTTCTGTGGAGATTTTGGGGTTCTCTATGTATATTATCATATCATCTGCAAATAGTGATAGTTTGACTTCTTCTTTTCCTATTTGGATTCCTTGGATGTCTTTCTCTTGTCTTATTGCTCTGGCTAGGACTTCCAGTATTATATTGAAAAGCAGTGGTGAGAGTGGACATCCTTGTCTTGTTCCAGATCTTAATGGAATTGCTTTCAGCTTTTCACCATTGAGAATGATACTGGCTGTTGGCTTGTCATAGATGGCCTTTATGATGTTGAGGTATGTTCCTTGTATCCCAAGAATTTCAAGGGCTTTTATCATGAATGGGTGTTGCACTTTGTCGAAAGCTTTCTCAGCATCTATTGATATTATCATATGGTTTTTATATTTCTTTTTGTTGATGTGTTGGATAACGTTGATTGATTTTCGGATGTTAAACCATCCTTGTGCCCCTGGAATGAATCCAACTTGGTCGTGGTGAATTATCTTATGGATACATTGTTGGATTCTGATAGCTAAAATTTTATTGAGGATTTTTGCATCAGTGTTCATTAGGGAGATTGGCCTATAGTTTTCCTTTTTTGTGTTGTCCTTATTCGGTTTTGGTATTAGTGTAATATTGGCTTCATAGAACGTGTTTGGTATTGTGAGGGAGCTTTCTTTAGACTTATTATACCATTTCCTCTAAATTGGCACTCTGGAAGAAAAATTAAATATTATTTTCAAAATAGTATTTTGTGTTCAATCAACAACAAGCATTTATTGAGCACATTTCTTGAACTATTATGTGTGCTGTAAATACTTCTCCCTTAGAACTGCTAGAAGCCTCTTTTTGTGTGAGATGCCATAAAATTATTTGGCTCTCACATAGTGTGAATACAATGTCAGGCAAATACAAGCTTGAACACTAAAATGAAGGAGCAATCTCAATGTTAAAACCATCCCAGATGATAAAGAATATGTTCACATTAAGATTCTGATTTTAAATTTATGATTCAGAGTGGATTTTTTTTTAAAGCAATTCTTAGCTTATTGTTAAGAACTGCTTGATAAATAACTATTTTAGTATTACTGTTGCTATTTATTTATCTCCAATACTTGGTTGGCAACATAGCCAAGAGTGAAGGGACTAGCACCAGAACAAGGATTCAAAATCTCTTTCATCAAGATCATATAAGTTTAAATTCTAATTCAATAGATATCTGTTGATATCTGTACAAGCCCCAAGGTATGTCAAGTGGCATTGTATGACTGCTCTGAAAATGAAAAATTGCTATACACAGCCTAGATATTCTTTTAATAGACATGAGCTGATTTGAAGAAAGTGAATTTCTCAACAATAAAAAAAAATCCCACTCAGGAATAGAGCATCAAATCATTGCCCCTGGGCAACTTTTTGATTATTCCACCACACTACAATAATTATTCTGAAATGAGACTGAATAAAGCTGAAAAAAATATTCAGAGAAGGGATTCTTTACCTGGAATTCATGGATAGGATTCAGGGAATATAAATTTTGAAAATGTATCCAGCATTTGGGGGGGTGAGGGAGGGAGGGAGAGAGAGAGAGAGAGAAAAAGAGAGAGAAAGAGAGAGAGAAAGAGAGAGAGTGTGTGTGAGTTGCATGTGTGTACACACCTATCTGAGAAAAAGGTTTATATTTCATCACATTCACAGAGTTACAGAGTTGTAGATGGACCAAAATATGTATGAAGCATTTTTTGGAATGAGCCTTCTAACCTGTGGTATCACTTGAGAATTAACATTTCACTTACACCTGAAACTTGGTGCACTTTATTGAATTACTTTTCTGGGGATGGTCTCTAGGGTGCTATAGTATTAGTCCTCATCATAATGGTAATGCAAAGTATTAATCAATTTAATAAAGAAAGTTACATCCCTCTTTCTTGATTGAAAATAAATTGAAACTAGAGGTTAAATGGCAGTATATACTGTAACCAATGAGCTGATGCCATTGGACTGTGTTACTTGATTTGTAATTCATAGTAAGTCATCTAAAATAGGTGGTGCTCTAAAAACACGGGCTGGATCTTTATAGATAAAATCCATTGAAACTACAGGGCATCATTTTAGTTAAGTGAAGTTAAGTATTTATCTAAGGACAAACCAGATTCAGCCTGGCTCTAGCCTTCATTGTTTTATCGGGGCTTGAACACTAAATGTACAATTCAGGTTTGTCAAATGTCTGCCCCTGTATAACCCATACTGCTATGAAGATACAGACCACTGCCATCCTAGAAAGTTCCCTGTTCCCCTTCTCAGGCATTATCCTCTCTAGAGACTGATTTGG